AAGAGGAGCAGCTCTTGGCTTTCCAGCAACTAAAGGCCGCATTGGTTAAGGCGCCAGTATTGCGGTTATATAACCCTAAAGCGGTGACCGAGGTACACACGGATGCGTCGATGTATGGGTATGGAGCAGTCCTCCTACAAAAGGACGTCGACGATCAGCAGCTCCATCCCATACAGTACATGAGCAGGAAAACGACGGAGACCGAAGAGAAATACCACTCGTATGAGCTAGAGGTGGTAGCGATCGTTGGGGCTCTTAAGAAGTGGCGGGTCTATCTACTGGGGTTGAAGTTCAAGATAATAACCGACTGTAATGCTTTCGCTATGACGATGCGTAAACAAGATATCCCACTAAGAGTATCTCGTTGGGCGCTATTCTTGCAGGACTTCAACTACGAGATTGAGCACCGGAGTGGTAGTAAGATGAGACACGTCGATGCGTTGAGTCGTGTTTCTTGCCTGATGTTGGAGGACTCGTTGCAGCACCGATTACAGCAAGCGCAGCTGATGGACCCTTGGATTAAAGCGGTCATGAAAATCCTGGCAAGTGGCGACTATGAGGACTTCTACGTCCAGCACGGGGTGCTTCATAAAGATCCCATTAAGGAGCTTATTGTTGTGCCCACGTCGATGGAGGACGAAGTAATTAGAGTCGCCCACAATGAAGGTCATTTCTCGGCGAAGCGAACGCAGGAAGGTGTCGAAAGAACTTTCTATGTGTCCGAGTTGCCCACCAAGGCGTCCAAAATCGTAAAGAGCTGCGTCGAGTGTATAGTCGCGGAGTCCAAATCAGGGAAGAAGGAAGGGTTCTTGACACCGATCGATAAGGAAGATAGGCCCCTGGGAACTTACCACGTTGATCACCTTGGACCGATGGAACTGACGTCGAAGCATTATACCTACATCTTTGTTGTAGTTGACGCTTTCTCAAAGTTTGTGTGGCTCTATGCGTCGAGAAGAACGGCGGCTGAGTTTGTCATAAACCAACTTACGTGGCAGGCGGCGACGTTCGGAAACCCCAAGCGCATCATATCTGATCGAGGGTCGGCGTTCACCTCCAACGCCTTCAAGGAATACTGTGAACGAGAGGGGATACAACATCTATTGATAGCCACCGGTGTCCCTCGCGGAAATGGGCAAGTGGAACGCGTCCACAAGATCATCGTACCCATGTTGACGAAGTTATGCGCGGGGAACCCTAGTCAGTGGTATAAGCACCTGGAGAAGGTTCAGCAGACCCTAAATAGCACACCACCTCGTAGTACGACAGTATCGCCGTTTAGACTGTTGACCGGCGTCGAGATGAGGGTAAGTGTCGTCCCCGAGTTGCAGAAGCTTCTGGAAGAGGCCGCCATAAAAGAGTTGGACGTCGAGCGAGAAGAAACCCGCAAGAGAGCTCAGGAGAGTATCATTAAAATACAGCAGGAGAATCGTAAGTCGTTTGATAAAAATCGTAAAGAGGGGGTAAAGTACCGGATGGATGAGTTAGTCGCCATTAAGCGCACGCAATACGGGGCGGGGTTGAAGTTGAGGGGAAAGTTTTTGGGTCCTTATAAGATCGTCAGGGTCCTGAACCACGATAGATACGAGGTCCGTAAGGTGGGGGACCACGAGGGTCCGGGTAACACAGTAACGGTTGCCGAACATATGAAAAAATGGGAACCTGACATCCAATCTCCTAGTGCATCATCATCCGAGCCGAATGATCCGTCAGGAGGGCCGAATGTAGGATCGGGTGGCAGCACCAACCGTCGGTGTTAGCTACCATCAAATTGCAACCCTAACGAATTGACGAAGATTGAAAAAATGGTAGAAGTGATAGCTATTTCGGAAATCACCACATTTCCTCATCACACTTCTTTCAGTAGGATTCGAACCGACGATCACCACTGACTCAGCCAGTTGCCTACGCTCTGTGCTAAGTTGTCTTGTTAATTCTTGTTGCTTATTTTCCACTATTTCACTT